ATGACCTCTTTGCTGGGGACCACCGCCTTACGCTGTGGCCTGGTGACCGTGTCCGTGAGCGCCTCTTCCAATGAGCTCTTCTTGGACTTGAGGCGATGGAGCTCATCTATCTTCAGCAATCCGAAGGTCTTTGAGAACCACTTGAGGGTGTTCCACACCTGCCTCAACTTGCACGGGGTGACCTCCTCATCGGCGAGCTGGTTGAGGAGAGAGCGGACATGTCGTTCCTGCCATGGAATGACGGTGAAGCCTCTCTTGCGGAGACTGGCAATGTTGCCTGAGCGTCCGGAACCTGCTGTCCCCCAAGAGGTCCAATGCCTCCTTGCGGAAGTCCTCCCCCAGGATGTCCTGCATGTATGCAATGTGCTCCGCAAAGGGGGCGAAGTGGGCAAGGAGCCGTTCCGCCCATTCCCCGCGCATATGGAGTTCCAGCGCTCGCTGGGTCGTGGGCTCCATTTCCCTGATCTTCCCGGGCCGCCAGTGCCTCCACTTCAGAAGCTCCGGCTGTTGGAGTGGGGGTGGGTCATCTACCTCAGTTGGTCCTGGCGGTCCCATTCATTCTCCAGCGGGGAAAAGTTCTCGCTCGGCTTGCCATCCGCAGCCGCCATGAGGAGGAACCATAGGCTATCCCAAAGGTCGGCCAGGTCCGCCGCGGACAAAGGCTGGGGAAGCCTGCCCGCCACCGACGCCACCAGGCCGTTGAAGTAGTCTGTTGGTACCACTTGGTCAGCTCCCCGCCCAGCTGCCTCCCTTCCTCTGCCGTGCCATGGTGCAGGCACATCAGGACCAGCAGCTCCCCGTCCGTCTGTCTCGGGGAGAAGGACTCATCCGCCAACGTGTCCCACAGGACCCTTGGAATGCGGTCCCAAAGCCGAGTGTAAGGCGGGCGCAAAAGAAACTTTGTAGAGACCCTAGCCATGGTGAAAACGGGAGTTCGAGCCTCCTATCGAACGGCCGGGACCCAACCGCGGCACACTGCATGCATGTTCCAACCACGCAGGATGCCGCGTGCAAATGGGGCAGGCAGGCCACATGCAGCCCAACAGGACCAAAAGTCAACCCCCGGAAATCCCCAAAAACACGGAGGGGGGAAGACCAACCCGACGGGGGATTCCCCAAAACCCCCAAGGGGACCTCAGGGAACCCAGAGTCAGCCGCAGCCACTTTCTCCAAACTGTGGCCGATATGGCCCGTCCTTGGGGCAGCCAATGCGTGCAGCCTCCAGATCGAGGCAAACCGGCAGCCGTGACGTGTTGAACAGGGGGGAAACCAAGGTGAAAGTTGAAACCAAAAGGAGATACCCTTACTCCTCCCCCCACCCGAGACGGGGCCAGAGGCACCCAAGTCCCGGCGGGAAGAGATCACACGACTCCACATCCAAACGGGTTGTGAGACACGACCTAGCGGCTCTCACCCTTCAAGATCGCCTCCTTTGCCACCGAGTGGATGGCCGCCAGCCCTGACTTCTCCGGGTTGCTCAAAATGACCGACCACAAGGCAGTGGAGACATCCCCCAGGCCATTCGAGGAGCTGAAGCGCATGCGCGGGGTGCTCGCGTCGCCCAGGACTAGCCGCTCGTCCCTGGGAGGCTCCGTCGGCTCCACCCTCTTGTAGAACTCCATCCTGTCCCGGATCCACTGATTATATAACTGCTCCGGGGCCTCGTCCATCACCAGCTGCAGGCATGTGGCCTTGTCTTTGTGCCACCCCGTGATCTGGAGCAGCCTGGTCCCCCCGCGGCTCGCCCTCCAGAAGCCCTTGCAAAACCAGCACATGTAGCCCCCGGTGGTCTTGAACTTCTCCTTGCCCACCACTTCCCAGGCGCTGATGCTGGGCAAGACCAAGCCGCACTCCACGGAGGCCCAAAACACGTGCTTCGTCTCCTTGGGGAGCTTGTTGATGTACTTCCGGCCCGCGACCGCCGTGACCGTGGACGTGGTGATGGGCGGGTACCGCCTGGTGCCCTGGTCCGGTGTGCGGAGCGTGGTGTCCGCCCCCCCCAGAACCTTGGCCTTGGGGTCCGATTCCTTG